TGGAGTAACCTTTGCAAATTGCCTCGAGTGTTCACTTTTTGTTTGTGTTTGTTTGAATAGTGCTGGAAGCAGCTTCAGATCTCCTCTTTTTGAGGGGATTGGGGTGCACACCCCTTCGATGCAGCGGGTGCTGGCGAGCTCTGCTTTTTTTGTTGCAGCAGGCACTTCGTGACCAGTCTTCATAGATGGCGGAGTCAGTACCAGCAGAGGGGCCCTGCTTCTCTCCTTCTTTGGTGGGTGAAGGGGCCTCCTCCTTCGCAGCTAAGGACCGCAGCAACCTGCCGCATTCAGCTTCCTTTGGCGTGCGCAGCGGGAGCCGCACTTCTGCTGTGAACGCAGCAAAGGAGGAGGCGGCGGCGTTGCCAGAGGGCTCTCAGTGGATAGAGGGTCTCCCATCTGGCGTGCCTTCTCCCCCCTGGAGCAGGTTGCATACTGCTACAACACAGCCACCAGCACCAGCAGCAGCACCAGCAGCAGCAGCAGCAGCAGGAGGATTGCCAGCTGCTGCACACGGCGGGGTTTTGGTGCCGTCTCGAGAGATAAGCGGCGCTGGGTGCTGCGTTGGAGGAGGCGAATCTTCTTCTCAGGTGGAGATACACCCGAGCAACCTGCATGCACTGATCCCGAGCAAATTCAAATACAAATTTCCTAAGGAGCGGCTGCCGCGTCACAGCAGCTATGAAGTGCTGGCAGTAGAAGACAACCCATACGCCTCTCCGCTGCCTCCTCCTCCGCCCAAAGTCCCTCACAAAAAAAAATCTATATTCGGCATAGCTCGGCGCCACCAGCAGCAGCAGCAGCAGCAGCAGCAGCAGCAGCAGCAGTATCCTTTGCTGATGCGTCCTCCAGCATCACCAGCAGCAGCAGCAGCAGCAGCAGAAGCAGCAGGAGAAAGTAAAGAGAATGCAGGGAAAGGATGGATAAGAGATTTTCGTTGTTTTTTATGTACAAGTGCAGACTATGTAAGCGATGAACAAACTCAGCTAGAAATAGAAAAAGCTCAGCTCGAAGAAGCTCTTATAGAGTTTCAAAGCGACAACAGAGCACAAGCAATACAGCTAGAAGAAACAAAAACACAATATGAAAAACAAATACAAAAAAAAATACAAGACCACCAGCATGCATATAAATTCATAGAAGAAACAAAACTAACTCTCAAACAAATACAACAAGAAAGAGATCAACTACTAGAACAACAAAAACAGTACACACTAAACCCTAAACCCTAAACCCTTAACCCTAAACCCTAAACCCTTAACCCTAAACCCTAAACCCTAAACCCTTTAAACCTCTTCGTGACGGTAGTGGTAGACGCTGTTCTGCTGC